TTTCAGAATACTCTGTGCTTATAATGTTATCTAAGATTTTTCACGTGATTCTCTTAAAGGTGTTTGGGGTTTTTTGAGTCTCACAAATGTTTCCAAGAAGGATGTAAGCTTGGAGGAAGGAAGGAAGCTAGCAGATGAAATACTCCTAATTAGAAAGCAGTTACAGCTTGAGTAATCAGAATTCCTTGAGAACGGTTACAGCTTTTAGGTGGACTTTAAAGTGCTACCTGGCTAGTTATAAAACCTCAAGCAGTAGCTGCTCTGTGCACTATCATGTACTAGTTTCTTGCTCTATCCGCCTGCACTATGTGGATTCTTAGTGAGAGATTACCCCTTGAAGCTGTAAGCTTGGCACTTTTTTTGAGGAATTTCTGGAAATCCATTTTCCAGCAACCTTTGGGTTTTTGTGATTGATGTGATGATGAGCCTTAGCCTGAGACCTTCCTGTGGTGGTCATGGTGTTATCTATACTTCCTGACTTGCAAGCTGGCTTTGCTGGCAAGAACATGTTATTTTGGCTATAGTGTCTTAAACTGAAATTGCCATTTGTAGGTCACTGGGACGTTAATTGTCACCTCTGTGAAATGGAGAGGTGTTAACTCATCATGTGACATATACCTATATTCATTTTGGGGTAATTCTTATGATTTATGAAATAAGAGCCATTTGTAAGACTTCTCTTTTTCGCTCAGAATAATGATACATATTTCGCATGAATGCCTGACATTTCTTCAAAAACTGTTGTTCACAGGTTATTCATAAAACTCAATGCCGTTGCTACTCTGTGCATATAAGGCTTGACTTTAGGGCTGTTACTAGCTTTTCATAGGACACTGCCTGAAGCATCATCTTAAGGTTCAGGCATGAAGGCTTAGTGCTTTCCTTTCAAAATGGTAGCAGGATGTGAAGAATAATAGAAGTCCCATATGATTTAGAAACTAAATGAGGTGATCTCATGGCATATGAGTTTCATGTGTCTTTACTGAAATAACTGCAGCATTTTAACAGGGTTTTTTCTTCTTTAAGGTAATTTAAGGTTCTGTGAGTTAAGGATGGTCACCAGCAGCAGTTGTAAATTGACCATTGTCATGGTTGTTTTTACTGTGTAGTACCTTGATGGACTTTGATCCTTTGTCACTTTGGCAGACTTAACTAGACAGTAACCTGACAAACTTCTGACAATAGTTTCTGTCTTTGTCTCCCTTTCCTCTTAGTGGTCCACAACAACTACATAGTGTAGATAAAATGTTGATTTGGCTTTTTAAAAACAAACAAAAAAAAATCTTCTGAACTGACCAGCTGCTTCAGTGTTAGTTCAGCATCAGGTTTAACTTTCACCTTAGATTCCTAATACACTACACCAGGCTGCAGAACAGAAGACTTTGGGCTGTCCTGCATAATTGCTGAAACTATTGAGTTTTCTGTTGTCCAGACTTGCAATTTAGTCTGACTTAAAGAAGTTAATGGTGAACAATTGGTGTTTAGCAGCATTTCTTTTCAGTGATGGCCCTATGTTTTAAAATTTTGGTATTACTTACATGCAGGATTTCTGCACCTGAGCATCTCTATATGCTCAGATTAGAAAACACTAGTTGCCGCAAAAGTATCTTCCTCACTCTAATCTGAAGTATGGCTCCTTGTTTTATTAGTTATAAGCCCCACTATAACTCTTTTTACAGCTTTCATCTAGGCAAGATAGATGGAAGTGCTTAGTGTAACTCTGGTTCTTCCCCTAGAACTAAATTTCAATTAAGAATCTGCCTGTAAAAGCCAGAGAGACTAATGTTTTAAAAAACAGCACACATTAGAAGGGATTGCAGTAGGCCTTGTAGGGGTTTGGAGGTGTGTAGCTTCAGTCTTCTTCAAACTATTGGTCAACAGGGGGAAAAGTAAAATGCATCAGAACAACCTAAAAGCAGATATATGCTGAACTGTAGCATGATTTTGACGCTTTAGTTACAGCTGCTTGTTTTCTGTACTCTAGGTGGGTGGGCTTTCCACTTAACTTTCTGTTGCAGGTGATGGAGCATGAGTCTCCGTTCTTTTGCCTTTCAGGAGCTGAGTGTGATGGAATAAGTACTATAAACTGTGGAGGGTTTCTTTATTCCCTCAGAACAGATACTAAAATTTCCAAAGTGCAAAGTAGTAGAGATTTGGACTTCAGCTTCCCATGTGTAAATGAAATCTGCTTAGGACAACTAAAATGTTGTATTGCAAATCTGGAAGACAGTTCAATGTAGAAATGGTATTTATTTAAAAAGATGAAGTAATCTTACTTTAGTTCTTCCAAAAACCATACTTTAGAGCAAAATATATGATAATTCTCCATTTTATTTACTTCTGAGTTGGTTGTTGCTTTCTAAGTGTTGACTTTTATGTTCCTTCAGGTGCTTCACAGTATTTTTTTATTGACCTGAGCCATACTTAATATGTCTTAATACGATTTTTAACACCAGCAGTTCTTGAATAGTTTTGTGGAAATATTGTTTAACCTGAAATAAATCATTACCAAAAAGAAAACCAATAACTTTGTAATGATGGAATACTTAGCTCACACTGCTACTATTCTAATGTGGGACCAATCGTAATACCAAATGGGAAAGAAATACTATATTGAACATTCTTTAAAAAAACTTCCCTTTTTGGTTTTTTACATCTGTTTCACTCTTTCTTCTTCAGTGTGGGAGCTGCTTCTGCTGCTGTTCTGCAACTTTTGGCGATTAGCAGGGAATTGGAGCTGCTGCTGCTTTTTACCTAGCTTGTAGTTGCCCTCAGGGTTCTTATGAGTTTCAGATCATCTGCAACTCAAATTGTTCAGCTTAAGTAGCTTTAAATGAATCTTCCTTAAAATGAAAAATCTTAAGGTCTATCCTTAATAGACCACAACAAGTTTAGATAGCAAGCATTATTTAGGTTAGAGTAAATCAAGACACTAAAATAGATTCCTGTGGGCTGGTTTTATTCAGTGTCTGAAGACCTAAATCAAAAGAGAATACTCTTCTGAGTTTGGTTGTATTCGCCATGTGAATTTATTAAGATTTGTGAAACCAGTTGGGATTTTAAAATGCAGAAAGGCATGGGTGGGTAGAAACCATATTTTTCAGATATTGGGTGCCTTTACATCCATGATAATCAAAAATCAGTTGGTTTTGTTCTCTCATTGTACACTTGTAATAAATATCTAAAGATGTATTGCACTTAGAAGTGTATAATGGTTTTCATATCCAGCCCAGTGAGACTACTTGAGTATAACATAAAAAAACCCTAATAGCTCTTTGATTCTCAACTCCATACAACTACAGTCTTATAAATAAGTCTTGTTATTTAGTTAGAAAAAAACCCCAACACCTCTAGTGACAAATATAAATGCTTGTTTACTTAATTGTGAAGTCTTCTGATCAGCAACATTTCCAGTATAAAGTTCCTATATAGGGAGTTCTGGTGGGCTTTGAGTAATGAATTCGCAAGTACAGATGCAAATAAAGATACTGCTGAGTGATTCTGATGGCTGTTATTTTAGTCCTGACTAAAACACGTCAGTGTTGGTGAGCCCTACAAAGACTCTGCTGTAAAGGTTTGAGATTGGCTTTTGATTAGTTGTTGGGTTTTAATTCCAGGCTAATAAAAGGCTAAAGTGTGCTGATACTTAAGGAATGAGGTTCTAGCTTGCGATGGATACATCAGTGCTTAAATGTCTAGTCTAGTTTTATGGATCTATATGAAATGCCTTATGTCATTCTGTCATTATTATAGAGTAAACTACATGCAATCAAAGCAAAGGAGTTTTTCCTGTCATAAATTGCAGTTTCTTTTCCTTCTGGTAATAGTAAATGGGTAAATGTAACTTTTTAATTTTCCTTTCTAGAGAATACCGTGGAATTCCTTTAAGCTTCTTAGTGAGTTGCCTTTTATAGGGGTAAAGCTCAGAATACCAGTTTCCAAAGAAGTTTTATCAGGTCAGTGAAAATAAAGCTTCAGAAGCAGGGTTGCTAGAGGCAATCACATTTCAAATATTAGTAAACCTAGAAGTTCTGTGTTTAGTTTGCAGCTGTAAGAACAGTATGAAGTCTACTTCTAGTGGTCAGGTTGTAGACTAAATGAGCTATTTGACTAAGCCAATCTACCTATTCCTGTAAAGATGCATAAATGCAACTTAAAATAATATAACTTATATGCTTAGTAGAGAACGGTCGCTTGCTTTTAGTAATTTAGGGCTGCTTTATAACTGCAAATTGAGAAATCCAGAAGACTGTCATTTCAAAACAGCTGGAGTGGAAGATACTCTAAATGCTTCAGTTTCTCTAAACTGTTTTATAGAATTGTCAAGATGGAGAACTAGTGAGCTCTGCTGCAATGCAGAAATAAAGAACATAAGATGTTAAATTCCCAACTTTTGAGAAATTACAAACTCCCTTGTAAGGTTTTGAAGAATTAGTTAATGCTTTTTCTATAGTAGTTAACGGTTCTTGAAGCAGAAGCATTGTGCTTCATAATTCTTAAATGTATTTTAAGTCACTCTTGTCAATGAGACACATGGTTTTGAGTTGAGTTGCTCTGAACCTTGTGCAAAGCATTTATGTCAGCGCCTTTGAAAGCTAGGTAAGTATGGTAACCGTAATCAAATTCATAGGATTCTGGTTAGAAACCTGAGTCACAATGTTACTCTCTCTAGTCTAACTGAACCTCCCGCAGAAGTACCAGTGAAGTTTGTTTCCATATACGACATAAAAACCTCAAGCTGATGCATTTCTTAAATTTGTAACTAAAGAGGCTTTAAACCACATCAGTTGTCTTAAGTAGACACTGGATTTTGTTACAGCTGTGAGTAAAATGGAAACAATACGTCCATTCTTTCTCTGGAGTGAGAAGATACTACCTCTTTCAGAAAAATAGATGTGCATACCTGAGAAATTGTCATAGATCAAATACAAATCTGAATTGTATAGTGATCTAAAGAGTAATAGTTTAGGTTTAAAAAAATACATTTTCTGTTACAGGAATTCTGTGCAGCATGTTTTCTGGATGGAACTGGGTGGTCCATGGCTTATATCTGCTCTTGAATATTTGTTCCCTTGAAGGTAAGGCTTCACAAGACTTTGTATCAAACACAAGAGACTTGGGAACTTGTTTAAGCGGGTGCTTAAAACACATACTTGCTTTTTGTCTAGACACTTGTGGGGTGGGGGCAGAAAGCAAGGTGTGTTAGGATAGAGAGGACTAATGTACTCTTAATACTATAGTAAAATAATGCACGTTCAACCAATACTCACGTCTGCTTCTATTCATGGCTCATCTGTGTACAGTGATAGTGAAGAGCAACTTTGTTCAGTGGAAGGTTACTTCAGTTCCACTGACATCACTGGAGCTGGTCACTGTAGCAAACTGAAGTTTAATTTTGCAAATGCCAAATGGTATCTAAATGAAAGCATCTCTTGGTCAGACTAAATGCTGTCAAAGCTATAAGCTACCAGGTGAACTAGTGTAGTAGGCTCTATGATCAAGTTAGAGCCCTGGGCTACTGGTCTTGTGTAGCAAATGATCATTCTCAAGATGTTTCATATAGCTGTTGATTCAAGGCAGTATTTCAGTTATCTATTTCATCTTTAAAACTTGACAGTTTTCTCTTTATGTGGCTCCATAGCAATGGTCACAATTTTGTTCTTGTGTTGAAGTTCCTTTGTAAAAAGAGTACTATCAAATGTGCGGAGTTCACTATAGTTCCCAAATATGCTTATAGTATACACGCTGAAGCTTTTGAAACGGGCAACTCAAGTATTTAACTGTTTGCATGCAATTCTAAACTAGTCCACTGCAACAAAGGTGCATACTCATCCCAATTTTTTGTTGTTAACTTTCTGAACAGAAAATACCTTTTTAGCTGTAAGAGTGACCTCAAGTGTATTATCTTCCTCCTTCAAAACATACAAAACACTCATTCCTTCACTCTCCTGTCTAAGGGCCACTGTTTATTAATAGTGTTTTTCTTGCTTGGTAAAATGCTTTTACAAAGCCTAGTGAACACTATACTGGTTTTGCCCCTTAAATCTGGTTGGTGGTCCACTAATGCATTTAAGTTTTGTAACTGTCAAGTAACTAATTTCCTTCTTAGGCACATACAGTGTTTTTAACATTATACTAGTGTTGTATCAGCAATATTGATTATGGAATGCTCTGTAGTTTTTAATAAAGATGCAATTCTTTTTCTTTTTAGTTTCAGGTGGACTTGTACAGTCATGTGGTCATATCATCCCAGAGTCTGCTGTATTGGCCCTTGGTTCCAATTTCACAGCATTATGCATTTTGAATGAGAGTTGTCTTGACTTTGGCAATATCTATGCTAATCAGATTATCTGGAAAATTAAAAATAGAGTGGTACCTAAAGAACAGTATCGTGAAATAAACAGAACGGTTTCCAGTGTCACATTTAATGACACTTCTTCACTAGCTACTCCTCTGACATGCAACATTTTAGCAGATGGACAGATTGAGCAGAACATCTATGGAATTACAGTTACAATAGGCTGTAAGTAACATTTTTCTTGCCTTTTATTCTGGTTTTAAGAAAATTGCTTCTGAAAAACTGGGAAGAGAATGCAAACAATAGAAAGTGTGCACATTTTGAGACACTGACTTCCATTCCCTCAGTTCCTGGATAATTGTATGAAAACACTGTCAAATTACATGCCATCAAAGCCGGTAATTATGCGCAGAATAAAGTTTTCTAAAAAACAGAAGATACTCTGGAGTATGTGTTGACATAGGAAGGAAACAGAACAACAGAAAAATATTGAAACAGGAAGACTTAAATTACAGAAAGATGTGAATTTAATTGAAATAAATCCTAGGAAATAAACTAACTTTTTGTTACTACTTGTTTCTGTTTCAGTGTTCAAGGAAATACAATAAGGTCGTATGTCCTGCTTCATAATAACACTATGAAATTAATGTTTTCTTCATAAATGGACTGAGAAATATTTAGTCCATCTGTATTACTAAAGCTAACCTGAACTGCCTTAAGGATGGAACATGCTATTTGGATTACTCTACCTCTATACATAAAATAATACTTTTAACTAATCATAAATTTTCCTTGTTAAAGCCTGATAGCACTTGCGTAGTTCTGAGCAAGTGCTCCTTGAGACAAGACTGAGGTCTTGAAAAGGTAACATTAATAACTTAATATACTATTACTTAATTAGTTGGTGGACCATTTACAATATAAACAAATGTTAAGTGTCTTTAGTACTGGAGTATGAATGGCTGATGAATTATGTTGCCTCCTAGTGTTGGCAAAAGGTATTGCAGTTGTCGCATGGTCTGCATACAAAATGCTGACATGAGTTCACAATTGAAACTAATGTGGTTCTAGCATGAGTTACAAAATGCTTTCACAGAAGAACAATGTTTTCTATTTCAATTTCTGAGGAGTAAATTTCTTACCAGAAAAGATGTGACAAGTTGCTATATCCTAAGATGATTGACTGAATGGCAGTACAGATAACATCTTAGAGTTGTAATTCACCTATGAATCTTGAGATGCATTTGTATTTAAAGCTACTGTATTTTCATACTGTCACTAAAAGCTAGAAACAAACTCTGTGTGCTATGATTTGAATTTAAGAAGAGAAAAAGTAGTTCAGCTGCGCTCTGAAGTTTCTCACACACTACTAAAGTGCATTGATAAAGATCCCTTATCTATCTTATAGGTGTTTGCAGCTAAAGCATCCTTTTCCCATAGCTTATGGGGGAGAATAGACCTATCATAATTACCTTAGAGCTCAATTTATTGGCAAAGTTAGCATATGCCAATCCAGCTGTTGTGCTCATTAGCATTTTTTCTGTGTGAATTAAAGTAGATTTAGATGGGAGATGATTGATAGCAGGTTTTCTGCCTCAAAGAATGAGAAATCTGTGCTGTTCCTTACTGTCAGGTGCTTGTTCCTTATACAGCCTACTGTTTCTCAGAGCAGCTGATTAAGTTTCTTGACTTATGTTGCTAGATGGTATCTAACACTTTTTGCCTTTAGAAATAAATCTGACTATAAATACTTCCGATGTTCATTGAAATTGCTCTAATGGAACACTTAGCGTGATTCTTACTGGACTAAAATGTGTATATAGATCAATTACTGTGAACTTTTTCTGTACAGTGCCCCCAGAGAAACCCAAGAACTTGAGTTGCATTGTGCGTCAGGTGTCAAAACTCACATATCCTATGACTTGTACCTGGAACCCTGGAAGGCATACATTCCTGGACACTCACTTTAGGTTGAAATACAGGTGGTAAGTAGCACTCTATAGAATGTCTAAATTTTGCAGAATATTTGTAGGCTAAACTATAATTCCCTTGAAATTTCTTTATACTTTGGAAGAGTTCTTAACTGAAATCCAGTTTTATGAAGCATTGCTGTCTGTTCTGGGGAGAAGGGAAGAGTTAAAGAAGTTCACATTTAAAGTCATTCTAAGTCAGACTTGAAATTTTGTTGCTGAACTTGTTTTGGAGTAACAGCTATCTTGTATTTTTCACTTCTTCAAATACATGATTAGTGTGGCTTGAGTACAATACACCTAATCATTAGGTGACTGGACCTGAATTATATATTTTATGTTTTTCTGTGGTGACTGCTTTATCCCATTCTAAACAAGTACATTGCAGAAGGGTTGGACTAGATGATTTTTAAAGGTCCATTCCAACCTAAACCATTCCATGATTCTAAGTAGAGGAACCAGCATATAGTGACTGGATTTTGTAGAGGTATTATCTACTCTCTGCTTCCTAAGAACTCAGAATGTTACTTGTCTATGATTAATCCTAATGTGAAGGCTTCAGCAAAAGTATTTCTCCTGTGAAACCAAATTAACTTACGTATTTTTCAAACTCTTCAAATGGTCTCCCATAGTTTAAAATGGAGTGGACAGAATTGTTGCTCTGCTCTGGAAACAGGAATGACTGCCTACAGCTTTCCATCTACCCCATTCTGCTGCAGTGTTCTGGTAACAAGTGTAGTAGAAAGTATGGATGGATAGAAAGCCTTAATGCTTTGCAAATCTCCTGATGCCCCTAGAACTATCTGCTGTTAGTGCAGCAGAAGATGGTGAACAGAAATGATGATGTGTTGCAGCTGTAACACTGTACTCTTGAAGGTTATGCAGGTAATACTGACTACATCTTTTAATGCATGAATATGCTTCTACTTACTAGCTGTATTGTTTTTTGATTAAATTTATCAATTCTTGACCTTTATTTTTTAAGCTAAGTCAGGTTTTATACAACTTCATAATTACATCACCGTGGCTTGTGTATTTTAAGATATGTGACTTGAAGCCAAGAGATTTTATTCTAATCTCTATTCTAATGCAATCATGCATTTCAAATTCAGCTCATGCATTTGGAAATTTTGAAAAAGCCATTCTAATCTCTTCACCTTTTCTTCTTGCCCCTCTGCTTACAAAGATAATGGCAGAGGGGAAACATGAGCTAAACTGGTAACTGTAATCTACTTAAAGGTTCTCTAAAGGAAACAAGACTTACTGCTTTATACCTTGTTTTTCCTTCTCTTTTATTTAGGCCACAAGAGAACTTCCCTGACTGTATACCAGAAGATGTAAACAATTCTTGTACAATTACTGATGTTCAGTTCTTTGTTAACCTGGAGGTCTGGGTAGAAGCAGCAAATGCCCTTGGAAAGGCTGAATCTGATCCTCTTGTTCTTGATCCCATTGAGATTGGTAACTATACGCCTCTTAATAAAGCTTTAGTAGTACATAATTGCTGGTTCTGTGCATATTTCTGAATTGGTATGTTAATGTTTCTTCACTATAAAAATTAACACTGCCAAAATACTGTTGACTAGAACTTGAACTGTGCAGGACAAGGGTAGGGAAGGTGAGATATTTCATCACAGTTCAGACAGCAAGTTCTTGTTGAGTAGTCTGCTTTAGAAACTAGTTTGAAGTAGTAGCCTTCTGAGCTTGTGAAAGGCTTTAGTGGTAGTGTTATAGCATAGTGTACCTACTACCAGAGGCATGATAAGATACAGCTGTAGAGCTGACTCTGACTCCTTCTCTTCTAGTTAAACCTCTGCCTCCACACAACTTATCAGTCAACTCGGGAATACTACCTACTGTTCTGAAGCTTTCCTGGGAGAATCGAATTTCACCAGCTGTGATGAAGCTGAAATTCAATATTCGCTATAAGATCACCAGTGACACAAACTGGATGCAGGTAATACCACTAATGTCCCTTGTAACTCTTCTGCTGTAACCCAGCTATTTGTCAAACTGCAGAAGGAGTTCCCTCACTGCTGCAGTTCAGAGGATTCACTTTATTATCCGTGGGCCTTATGTGGTGTGCCAAGGAAGCTAAACTGGCCTGTTCATGAAGGCTGTGATCTACAGGGGGGGTTGACACAATCTAGAGTACAGTGACCTTGTCCTTTCTTTGTGGCCTTCTCTGCTGTCCTCCCCATCGTGTTGTAGTATGTTTATTTTGAATTTTTATTCTGTGTATGCAACATCTAGAACCTTAATGAACTTCCATCTTTCCATGCACATGCAAAACTGCCGATCTAAATGTCATTTAAAACTTGGGCAAACACTGTACAATGCTGGGATGCCTTTTTGAACTTGCTGTACCTGCACTTGGGGCACAACAGTGCTACGTGCAATGCTACAGGCTTGGGGAAGGGTGGCTAGAAAGCTGCCTGGCGGAAAAAGACCTGGGGGTACTGGTCAGTATTTGCTGAATATGAGCCAGCAGCGTGCCCAGGTGGCCAGGAAGGCCAATAGCATCCTGGCTTGTATCAGGAATAGTGTGGCCAGCAGGAGTAGGGAACTGATTGTCCCCCTGTACTCAGCACTGGTGAGGCTGCACCTTGAATGCTGTGTTCAGTTTTGGGCCCCTCCCTACAAGAAGGACATTGGGGCAGGGCACTGGAGTGTGTCCAGAGCAGGGCAACAAAGCTGTTGAGGGGTCTGGAGCACAAGTCTTATGGGAAGCGGCTGAGGGAACTGGGGTTGTTCAGCCTGTAGAAAAGGGGGCTGAGGGGAGACCTTATCACTCTCTACAACTGCCTGAAAGGAGGTTGTAGCAAGGGGTGTGTTGGTCTCCTCTCCCAAGTAACAAGCAATGGGACAAGAGGAAATGGCCTCAGGTTGTGCCAAGGGAGGTTTAGATTGGATATTAGGAAAAATTTCTTGACAGAAAGGGTTGTGAAGCATTGGAACAGGCTGCCCAGGGAAGTGGTGGAGTCCCCATCCCTGGAGGTATTTAAAAGACGAGCAGACGAGGTGCTTAGGCACATGGTTTAGTGGTGGCTTGGCAATGCTAGGTTTACAGTTGGACTCAATTATCTTAAGGGTCTCTTCCAACCTAAGTGATTCTGTGATTCTGTAACAGTAGATGTGGTTGTCTTGCATACATGCCTTAAGCCTGATGCAGTCAAGGAACTGGAAAAGAGTCAGAAATACGCCTTACCTGTAGTGCCCTGTAATATGTTCATGTCATCAAGAGTTGTGTTTTCTTCTGCATCATCTGTGGACATATTTTCAATAGCCTTTCTTAAGCCTTCTCTCAGAAGAGCAGTATTCCAGAAAAACTCTTTTCATGAAGTTTTTCCCATCTTTTGTTTTCAGTACAGAGGCCCAAAATTACTCTGAATTTCATGACTTGTTGGTGGAAGACTGCTTCTGACTTAGCAAAATATGGTGTTTGAAGCAGATAGCATAACGCAGCTGCTTGTGACTATTGTGTTGTGTTTCTTTGGAGGAACTTTTCAAGCTTGAGATGCAGAGATTGATTAGTAAGATCACCTGTATTGATATTTTAAAGAGCACTGTCCCACACAGCTTATTCTGCAACTCCAGGATCTGTTGATACCTTGCCCTATTAAGTCATTTTAACTTGTTTTGCCCTTTTAACATGTGCACAATACCATTGAAATAGTAACTTTTAAAATGACTGAGCTTTCTTAGCTGTGGTAAAACTTGACTTTGACAATTCCTTGCACTCAGGATTAACCTATTGAGTGTCCTGCATGTCTGTTTAATCTGCAGTAATTCCTCTTGCAGGGTTGGTCACTATAAAAAAACCTTAATTGCAAGTGGAATAATGTGATGGAGTCAGTGTGTACCTACATACATCTATTACCTACATCACACATCTGTTTCTGTACAGTAAGAATATTTTCTGCCATTCAGTGCCTAATCCAAGATAAACTCATGTATAACTACTCTAAAACAAACTCTAAAGTAAAAGTATAAACTACTCTAAAACAAACTCTTTCCAATGTCAGTTAAGAAACACTGTTCTGTATCAGTGGAAGCAATGATCCTGGATTCACTAGCTTTATAGAAGGCTTTTAGCACTGGTATTCTGCAATCACTAATCAAGCAGATAACCTAGCAAAGTTCTGAAATGTGAGGCAGGATATTAGAGATCAGTAAGTAGAGGAATTACAGGGGAAGGAAGGAGAGGTAGACATTAACTAACAAAGAAAACAGAACAGAGAGATTGTCCTGAGACAGCTGCTTACCTAGTCTAGTGGATGTATTGTATTATAGCTGATAAATACAACTATGATGGATCCCTTATCAAAACATGGTTGAGAATTGAAGCTCTTGGCAATAAGAGGGAAGAAAAACTATGCTGTTTGGATTGGGTGTGTGTGCAGTGGGGAGCTCTCTTGGATGGGAGCCCTAATAGCACAGAACTCAGCTTTACAATTTTTGATCAGTGCCTCTAAAATCTTTCTTCCATTTACAGGTTCCTCCTGAAGATACAGCTTCACCAAGAACTTCATTCAGTGTTCAAGGGCTCAGACCCTACACAGAGTATGTCTTTTCAATTCGTTGCATGAAGGAAGATGGAGTGGGCTACTGGAGTGACTGGAGTGAAGAGAAGACTGGGGTGACCACTGAAGACAGTAAGTAATACATAAAAGTAGGTCACTGACTTTCAAAATGTGTGAGTGCCTAGCAGTTTGGCCATAGCCAGCTGAAAGTGTGTATCCTTGCTTGAGCTATTTGTTTATACATGCAACAAGGGTCTCCTGAGTTACTTTCAGTACTGACCAACTTGACCCATGCATTCCAAGGAGCATGAGAATAGCTTCCCATAAAGCTAGTCTGAAGGTGCTTCCTGAAAACAGCTAAAATGGGGGGTAGGGAAGAAAAGCTTTCTTCACAGAAAGTATCTTCAAGTCTTTTAGAAGAGATGTAGGCTTTATGCTTGGGTTTTTTTGTTCTGAAGGTTATCCTCTGTAACAAACTATTCTGCCTGTCTGAAAGTTTGGGGGGTGTTTTGGTAGACAGGCTGTCTTAGTCTGTGAACAACTTGGTGTTTAGGAGGCCATTAAATAAAGTCATAGGTGAACAAGCATCAATAAGCATGAAACAGAAGATTTTAGTCATATAGGGTACATAGACTTCTTCACAAACTTAGCAAAGCAATGATGTGAAATAATGTGCATATAGGAAATGTAGTTCCTCATACACCAAAGCATCTAAAAAACATTCTGGTTTACTGTCAACTTTTCCAAAGGTATTCTGCATCTACAACACTTGCACATCTTGCTTGTCAGAGTCACTTACAGCTGCCACTGCACTGCCTTGTACCCAATTATTTACAATATGCTACACACAATAATCAAGAGTGTTGCTGCTCATCACTGATACGGTTAACACTGTGGGAGGCATAAAAAAGAAAATGCTATCAAACTGCTGATTTAAGCAAAATTGAGTCTGTGTGGATAATGGTTTTATTTTGGCTATATATAATCACAAAAATCACTGTTTCCTTACAATTTCCTTGCTTGATGACATAATTATAGGAGTTGTCATCTTGTAGATCTGGACTCTAATATTCTCTCCCTTTGCAGTAGGGACAAACACTGAATTGCTGCTATCATGATTTAATGAGGAAAACTTCTTATATCAGCTCTTCAGGGGCATTATTTGGATCATGTTTGGTCTTCCACAAAAGGACTTTGCAAACAGGATATATACAACTTCAAAGTATAAACTGATTACTACTTCAGATACACAAAAGATAGCAAACCACTAGGTTAAGTTCACAGCCCTGTGGAGAAAAAAAAAAAAAACTGCTGGAGAGCCTCAGCAAGTATCAGCCTTCAGTGCTTTGTGGAACAAATCCTCAGCTTTGCAAAGTTGCTGCTGCTGTTCACACTACAAACAGCTCATCAATTTGCCTGGCCTCTGAACTCCTTGTGATGCACCAGTCGGCTGTTAGGACGTTGTCTGTTTCCACTGAACTGTATGTTCTGCAGATGTGCTGCATTGCCCTGGACTCATTTGTATTCCTTCAGGATGGTTACTGCACTCAGTGTCTTTTAAGATCTGTGTCTGCTTCATTCCACAACATGTTTTTTAACTTAATGGATTGCTTCTAGTTGTTTATGAACACATGCATTGCTTGAAATGTACTGTGGCATTAAAGTAACTACAACTCACTGTGTTATGAATTTAATATACTTCACAGCTCATGGAAGTCATTGGAGTATTTCCCTACTAGAGAGGCTGTCCTGCAAGTTTTTCTTAAGTACAGTGACTGTGCCTTCTGCCACTGAGTTGTGCCAAAATGATTAGTTGAGTATGTCTGGCATTTTCTGTTACTGATTTTTTTATTTTGTTTGGCTGTTTTATTTTGCAGCATTTCATAACTTAACAATTGTTGCAGCAACTGTAAACTAGTACAAAATAAAGTTGCACAACAATAACTGAGTGGTAGTTATTGGATCACTGACACTAAAATTACACCCTTGCATTTGTTACAGTATGAAAAATCCCATTCTGAGACAGCGGCTGCTTACATTTTCCATTAACAGAACAAAAATACATCCAGTGTATATACAGACACAACCTAGACCTATAGAGTTGGCCCTTTAATTTGCTCTTCATATAAAAGCCTTGAGCTTTGACTTATAACTTAGCTTTCTATGGTCTGTTTTCCTTCTGTCATTTGTCTGAATAGCCTACTTAGGCTGAAATGGAACTAATTTAATGTCTTTAATAGATGCATGAGAGGTACAACTAGTATCTTCTTGAATCTGAATCTCTCTCTGTGCCAGCACACAATCCATTAGTGTCTTGCTTCTTGCTAAAGGTGAAATGAACTAATTTGAGTGTGCAGTAACCTGTTGAGGAACATTACTGCCACTAGTTGTGCTACACTGCAAATATAAATACAGTCTGTTTTCTGCTGGTAGACCAGTGTTTTAACAAATTGTTGTAGCTACCTTTCCTAGTGATAACAGAATAGTCATGCTTTTTCTGCATTGCTTGCTAATCAGTTAGCATTTTTTGCTATTGCAGCAATAAGTTGACAGTAAAATAACTTCCTATTCTGAGTTTGCTTACAGACAACTTCAGAGGTGTGGTCACCTCTTGTAAATACCTGGATACACTTGCAAATTTCTAGGATAGTGGAATAACTTAAGTTGGAAAGGAGGTCATGGGGTCTGTAGTTCCCTGGTCTTTTTTTTTTCTACCAAGTGTTTGGCTCAGACAATTTTATTCATTGATTTTTTTTTTTAATTTTTTTTACTGTACATTTGCCTGTTGCAAAGACTAAATGAAACAAGCAGCCACTGGACACTGAAGTTACTTATACCTTTATTATTGACCTCAATCAAATTATAAAACAGACTTTTAGATGTTGTGCTTTGTCTAGGACTGTTAGACCCATATCCCATAAGATTCCCTATCTGTTTCCTTTCCATAAGCAAAAGATTTGATGTCTGTCTTGGTAGCAAGCTACCAAGATACAGGTGTATTTGCCACTAGTATATTCAGGAAGGTATACTTCTATATTTCTTCATGGTTTTATCCAACTGTTGTATTTCCAAGTGTTAAGTACTATAACTATCAAGTAAAGTTTCAACAGAACCATTAAATGCAAAGGCACAAATGTACAATCATGATGAGGAAGCAATATGCAAGCATTTCAGCAATTTTGAAATCTTTTGGTGATTGTTTTACTACCTCATCCTTATCAGGAAGCATATACTTATTAACTCCAAATAGTGACTGTAGCCAAGAATCTTTATGTCCGGCAGAGCAGGTTTGCTGCACTGTGATTTCTGGGGATTCTGGCATTAGTAAATCACTGTCAAAGGGATTTGTTTTTAAAAGCTTGTTTGGTTTCCTTCTGAGTCATCAGTAGCAGCAGCATTGGGAATCAGTTTCTGATTTCTGACTTCAAAAAAAATTAAACGATGTAGAGATACTATGTCTTGTTTTTTCCAGGAATTTGGTTATTATCAGTTAAAAACTCCTCTTTGAATTCTAAGGTTGTGAGGAGTGAAACTACTTCATGCTTGGACCTGTTTCCGTTTCATTTCTACTTTGATAGACTGCAAGATTGGCTTTGTTTCTGGCCTATACTGATCCTTACCCATACAGAGCCAATGAATGGACCTTCTGGTTGTGTGCTTGACACCCAGTAGGGAATCTATTCTTCCCTCCGACTTCAACAAATACTTTGTGATATCTGTTCAGCTTCTAAGTCGGCCTGATCTCTTTATTTATTTATTTTTATTTTTAAAATATACATTAGCTATTCCTGCTTGTATTCTTCCTGGTCTCCTTTCTGTAATACCCTATCTGTTCCTTAGTGCCTTCCAAGGCTCACTCTTAAGCAGTCTGTTTAGTGCAGCATTTTGGTACATGTCTTTAAACAGAGTTAAACCAATGTAGGTTTCATTGTCAAAGCACCACTTTGTGCTTGGAGCTTGACTGCACTGGATCAGAAATCCTTCCTTATTTATCTGAACTGAGTTACCAGTAATGAGTTTTGATTGAATTCACATGTCATCTTATGTTGGAGAAGTAAGAAAAATATTACAGTATATACCCTACTTGTTTAAGCAAAGTGGAATCTATGTGTGTGTAATGGCATTGCTTCAGCTTTATGCAAAATTTACTTTCTCTAGGGGAGATGCTGTAAAATTCTCTTCAATATTCTAGTCACTTCTCTTCAACTCCTAATGACACTAAGGTTTTGGTTTCTGTGGTTACTATCTCAGCCTGAGCAATGAGGATTTCAAGACTGCCTGCCTATTCAGATGGTGTTGCCGTTCTTGCTGTGGTGACTAGCTTTGCAAAAATACTACTGTTAGTGACTTACGTACCTATGTCTTATTTTAGCCTCAGAACAGAGGTGTTATAGTAGGAAATGAACATGAGGCAGGTCATGTTGCATTCATGATCTGTATTAGGCAAGATGTACAATTGCTTCTGCTTCATATGAATCAAATCAAGATACTCAAATGAGATTGTTAAGAAAGAGGTCCCTTTGCCTCAGTTCCCAGTTCCCTTTCCTTCCTGATGTAAAGCATAAGAGACAAGATGCACTATAGACTTGATACTGGTTTTTGGAGGTAAAACAGCCAAAACCCCATAATACTTAATATAAAAAAAATGCAGTAAAAGAACCTCCAGAGGAAATACAATCTAGCAAGATTATAAATATAAATGCGTTTTAAGATCATCTTACTGCTAGGGGTAAGGCCCTTACAAAGGAGGTCACTCTGAACATTTTTTTTATTGCCTTACGCACTGTAATAGATTGATTCATTCTACTTTGAAATGAAATTTGTAGTGAAAATACCACATGAATTTTTTACAGTACTGACGCCAGAAAGTTTGTTAAGCTTTGTTTCTTTCATTAGAACCATCTAAAGGACCACCCATATGGAGGATCATTGATGCATCTCACTCACCAGCTTCCTGGACTGTGCATCTGATGTGGAAGGTAAAGCAACATAATAAACTACAGGAATTGAGCATTCTTCTAAAAACATGAGTTTTTAAGTGGCAAAATTTACCTCAACAAACTTAAGTAGATAGATGGCTGGCATAGTACAGGTTTTATTGATATGAGAAGTAACTCTAGTATTCTTATTATAATAATTAGTTACAAAAAGTTAATAAGTACAGATTTAAAGGCCATCAGTTAACTGGCAAACGTCTGTGACTGAGAGTATACAGAACCCACTTTCAGATTCCTGACTTGCTGTCCTTTAAGCAGTCTGTGGAACTGGAAACTTTCGCTTGAATGAAGTAAACCCTCGTGTTATGCCTTCTGCTGTGTCCTAAAACTTTTGTAACACTGTCTGGACAGGAATACTCCAGCTGCAAAATCCATTAAGCCTAGAGGCATTCCAGAGGCCAAACTTACTAAATACAGCACTGCACATCTGCATGTGCTGGGCTGCTGTATCTAGTTGGCTTAGTCTAAAGCTGCAAAAGTGAATGTGATTTCAGTTAGTCCCCATTTCTTGCTTTATTTTGGTCTGTGAACTTCGTCAGATTTGATCTAGCTGTCTTTTTACTACTACTTTTTCCCTATTACTAGGTGGGTTGTGTGAAGTTACATGTATATTGATATGACATCATTTTCTGATATAACTCATATGCCATGTGCCACTTCTGATGTTATTTAGCTTAGAATTGGAAAACTGGTGCTACTTCACAGTTTCACCAATTTTCTCATAGTTATCTGAAAACTAATATTGCTACACAAAATCAAGTATTCTTCCATATGTAATAAAAAAAAAAAAAACCTACTCGGGCTGCTTTGCTTTCAGGTTCAATGTAGCTGAAGAGATTCCTTTTATGTCATTATGTTGTAAACTCACATAAAATGCAAGGTTTATCAATACATCCTCTGCAATCTTTACAGAATAGCTTTTATTAAACTACTAGGTAGGATTGCAAGCCAAGAAAAAGAAGATTTAAGCCAGAAATAGTTGTGGAAATTACTGCTTTACAGAAACGAACACAGGTTATTTGTGCTTTCCTTAAATATGCAGCTTTTTCATCTGCATAACATGTCTTGCTCTCAGATTTTTAAATTATGCATGAAAGGCAATAAAGGTTAAGTCTTGTTTGTGCAATATCAGTCTAATCAAAGATGTGTTTCTAACAGGCTTTGGAGCCATTTGAAGCCAATGGAGTAATCTTGCAGTATGAGGTGACCGTCAGAGCTAAATCATCTCTCTCTAGTCCACCAGAGAAATATAATGTTAGTACCACCAACCTTACATTAAAACTGCCAAACGGAACTTACGAGGTGACTGTGATTGCCCGGAACAGAGTTGGGGCATCCCCCCCATCAGTTTTACTTATCCCAGCAAGTAATTCAAAAGGTTAGTGTCATAGTAACATCTCTTTCAAATGCATCTGCATGGCTTTTGTAAGAAATCTTCAGTGTTGTAAAATTACACACATCATTAAAGTATTACTGAATGTATCTACAGTCTTATGCCTTATAATTATGCTGCCACTTTTTACTAGGGAACGTGTGTTTATGTACTCACAGGTTCTTTTGGAGCTGTGTGCACTATTTTGCTCTTCTTGATCCTTAGAGCCACTGTGCACTTGTCCTGGTTTCAGCTGGGACAGAGTTAATTTTCTTCCTAGTAGCTGGCATAGTGCTGTGTTTTGGGTTTAGTACTAGAAGCATGTTGATAACACACTGATGTTTTTAGTTGTTGTTGAGCAGGGCTTACACCAGTCAAGGACTTTTCAGCTTCCTCTGCTCTACCAGGTACACAAGAAGCTGGGAGGGGGCACAGCCAGACTGGTCAAAGGGCTATTCCAGACCATATGACATCATGCTTGGGGGGAGTTAGTCGGGGGCAGAGTGATCACTGCTCGGAACGGGCTGGGCATTGGTCAGCAGGTGGTGAGCAATTGCATTGTGCATCACTTGTTTTATATATTCTGTATATTCTATTACCATTATTGTTGTTGTTATTCTTTTCCTTTATTAGACTGTTTTTATCTCAATCCATGGGTTTCACTTCCCCCCACACACACACATTGAGGAGAGGGGAATGAGCAAGCAGCTGCATGGTGTTCAGCTGCCTGCCAGGTTAAACCACAACAGTGCTATATTCCCTATTGTTTCTTTTTTTAGCAGAGCAGGCATTTTTGCTTTCTTTTTAAAAAATTGAAGGGTTGGGAAGTAGGCATCCTTTACTTCGCATATTTATCGTCTCACCATCATTCTTCCTTCTGCTTTCTGATCTCTCCCCTGCCCCTTTCCTCTCTTGTCCCAGTCTCACTCTCATACACTTTCAGTATCTTGCCTGGTTGCTTTGTCATCTGTTTCCACTGTTTCCCTACTGTTCATGTTCCTTTCGTTGTACAGTACTAGTAATTACAGGCTGGTTTCTCCTTACTTCCAGCCTTCTCTTAGACAGTCCGCACCCTACCAGGACACGAAGTGAAAAATAAGTATACAGACAGGTGCTGTGCAAACACCAAGGGAGCCACAGGTTCTAAAACTATTCAACTATTTAACTAAGGGTATGTTACAAACAGAGTAGCATTGCAGCTAGAGGTACTTGGTAAGGTGCACGAGTGTGAGGATTAGAATGTGAATTTAGATGTGTCTCAAAGTTTGATTTCCCTCTGAAATAGACCATTTCACTTGGAGGAAACACAGTATCTCTTTGCTGTGCAATAAGGCAACTTACTGTGTTTGAGAACAGAGAAGCTGAGTCTAATTTCCAGTTTTTAAATAGTCTAATACTGCTTATTTCGGATCTCTCATACAAAGATTCAGACATAAGCTTCCAAATTGCAGACAATGGCTTTTACATTTACTTAGGAACTGTCAAATTGTCACCATTACTATAATGCAAAAGCATCCATGTTTGACAAAATAGCTATTATTATGAATATCTAGTGGGAGAACTGTCAGTATTTATCACTTTCCTGTTTTGTTTCATCACAGCTCCTGTGAAGAATGTTAGAACACTACCTAAAGATGGCAAGCTGTGGGTAGGGTGGACTGCTCCTAACAGTTATGTCCTTAAATACGTGATTGAATGGTGTCTGGTGTCCAACAGCTCAGACTGCATCATAGAATGGCAAAACGAACCAGGAAATGTTCAAGGAACATACTTAAAAGGTATTTAGCACATAAGTCTACAAATACTCTATAGAACACTCTAAAAACTTAGTAAGTATTCTCAAAGTGAGGAATGTCCTCATGCTGACTAGAATTTTATTGTAGAACAGGAATCTAAGATAATGCTGAGGGCTTCCTTTAGTTTATCCTGAGTATTGAAGTATCGGTATATTTTTGGCAAATATAAAACTGTATCTAATATTGCATTTTGAAATTATATTATGTAACAGCAAGGATTTTGTCTGCATTTTGTTTTTAGCTGTTCTTGGGAACAATTAAAATAGCGAACAGGCTGAGTTCCTTCAAAATCAAATTCTCTGATCCCTCTTTCAGTTCAAACAATGAAACTTGACCAGCTTCACACTTCTTTTCAGATTGCAATCAGTAGCTCAAATCAGTAATTTTGGGGTTCAGTGCTGCAGACAGATAAAGGCTTTTTATTTAAAATAAATTAGGAAAAAAAGGGACTTCTATTAAGTCTGTTTATTAAATTTAACGTTTGAATGTGAACCATTATATTGTTCCTTCAGTTAATATTTTGGAGCAGTGTATCAATGAGCTCTAGAAATAAAGTCAGTTGCGTTAGATACGAGTGCATCTAATGAAACAGCCAAAACACAGAACTCTGTATTTGAAGTAAATGAGAAGGATGGTGAGGAATTCAACCGTCTGTGAAACAACATATTTTAAATTTCTTTTATTAGGTGATATAAAGCCATTCAAGTGTTACTTGATAACTGTGTACCCTCTATATGCTGATGGTCAGGGAAGTGGACAGTCTGTGAAGGCTTAGTGTACAGTCTGTGAAGGCTTAGCTGCAGCAGGATCGTAAGTACAAAACAGTCATCTTGGAGCACATAAACTGACTTTCTTGACTAAAACCAATGAGATGTTTGCTTTATTGTGGATTATGTAATGAAAAATGGTCCTACCAATGAGGGTTATCTGACGTAATTGATCTTACCCTGTCTAACATCCATTCTGCTTATTTACAGTATTTAGGAGTTAAACAGATGTCTGTGGCTGGCTCTTTCCCTTTTTCCAACCTTTATCAGACAATTTGGCATGCTTTTGTTATTTTATTGGTATAGTACATTTCTATGCTGATAGTTCTTAAATTTCAAGTATGAAGCCAAGACTAATTAACTTCAGCTGAAGATTTCATGTGATCTGCTGGTGGCTGTTTTTCATATCATTTTTCCTGGAGGTTTCTCTTTTAAACATCTTTGGAGTTGCTACATTGTCTGAAAATAATGCTTTGCAGATGAGTTAGTCCAGCTATTCCACTGAAGTTTTTATGCAGCAGCAATTCAGTGCTGATTGATACGCTGCTTCTGTGGATACAGTGGTGCCCAACAGAGAAACTAATCTTCATCTCCCGTTACAGGTCCTTCAAAAGGACCAACTGTTCAGACAAAAAAAGTAGGAAAAGCTGAAGCTGTTTTGACATGGAATCATCTCACAGTGGATGAACAAAATGGATTTATCAGGAGTTACACCATATTTTACAAAACTGTTGATGGAAATGAAACAGGTAACAGAAAGCAGAGAAGTGCTTGTGGCATTGAAGTATTCCATCTGCCTCCTTCATAATACATGTTCCTGAAAAACAAGATACAGAATTGAGTGTGGTTGACAGCCTGTTCTGATGACATAAAGCTGATGTCTGAGAGATAGCTCTCCTCCATACCAAACAGAAAAGTCCCTAATAGAGAATTCAGAACATTCAGCCTATGCATGACGGAGTTTGGTTTCTGAAAGCTGATTTCTGGGTATTGTACTCCCATCTTTCTGTCTAAATACAGGAGGAGATGGTGGTATAGCAAGATGAAGCTAGACCATTCAAGATGCAAAGGAGCTGACTGCATTTAACTATGATAAAGCCTTAAAAAAAGGGGGAGATTTTTAATCCTCCTGAAGCTCTAGATCAATATATTATTGATGTAAAACATGTTGTTCTAAGTGCATTTCAGTTCTCAGTAGTGTGTATGACCTGCAGGCATACAACAAGGATCTAGCACTATCAGAAGTTTTTCTTTTTTAGATCTGCTTCAATTGGAAGGGCCAATTACTTATGCCTACCCTACTTGTTACTTCTAGTTAACCATGTTTTTTCTAGTTAGTAACTAGCTATTTCTAGTTACCCATGTATTATGCTTATTAGAGGCCTTTAAGCCTCAACTTTACTACTAGTTTAGTTTGTAGCTACATTCTGGGTAAAAAAAACCCACAGGAAGTCAATGCATAAAATATCATCAAGAAATAGACTAAATTCAAACACTTGAATAGAAACAAATAAATGTCAGCATTTCTTGTACAGTTTTGTAGTCTTTGTGTCGTATTTTCCATACAGCCATGTGTTCTACTGAAACTGTCTCGTACATCTGAAGACATGATGTCTTAATGCTACTGTGTTTGTGGAGATCTAATAAATCGTACAGAAAACTAGTACAAATTTTTCCCTCTCTTAGCTGTGACAGTGGATCCTTCCAAGACAGAGTATACCCTCTCTTCTCTAACCAGCGACACACTGTATACTGTGCGGATGATGGCATACACAGATGAAGGAGGCAGGAGTGGTCCTGATTTTACATTTACTACACAGAAATTTGGTAAGGAAGAGCAGCACAACTAGTAGGAGTAGGAAATAATGTTGCAACAGCATAGCAAGGCTCTGTGCAAGAACTGATATGAGGGGAAGGTGATTTTATTTGAAAGAAAGTAAGTTTCAATTGCAGTCATACTCACAAGGTGTGGGACACTCAGGTAGCCTATCTGGTAGTCAGTTGCAAAGAGGTAGTTTAGTCAGGATTTCTTTTGATTGTACAGAGGACAAGCTAGCCTCTGCAGGTCTCCTGGATTGCTCTTTTATGTTGGCAAACATGCTGGTTTTGGATGTTTTGTATATACTTCAGGTTATATTATTCTTTTGCCCCAAATTTGTACAAGTCATTAGGATTTACTGAGTCCCCTTGTCTTGTCTTCCGGTGTCTGTGGCTCCTACCCTGGTCTTAAAGAGTCTAGAGCCTTTGTTCTAGACTCGAGGTAGGTTGGCCTTTGTTATCTTGGTAACTGTGTCCTGAGAAGCTGCAGAGCTGCGCTGGGATCTTGATCTGTTAATCTAGGTGCCAGTCAGCCATGCCACTGCTACAACCCTTCCTCAGGTTCTGCATTCTCATTCATATCACTATTTAAGTTTGCTACGACTCTCTATAGAGACTAATTTTGAAGAGTTAAATTTATTGTATGTTCAGCTTTAGAGAGTGCTTCCTATTTGTAATGGTATGAGCGACAACATTAACTGAACTTAGGTGTGGAAATCACTTTAGATTTAGCAGGTTTTTAATTTTTTTTTCTGTATAGTGTTGCTCTTCCCTAAGCATTCTGTAAGGTTTACTTTAAGAATGCAAATAACATTGGAAGGAATATGTAGCAATAATGCAGCCTTAAGTGTTTCCAGCCAGAGGGTGTATTTGTGTACAGAATAAACTGATGGATGATAAGTGACTTTGCTTACATGACTTATTTGACCATGATGTTATGGCAGCTAGTAGGGCACTGAAACACCTGGACCACATAGATGTTACTGTCATATCTGCCCAAACTGTAAAGTTACTTGCTCTGTCAGTATTACAGCTTCTAGAGCAACCTATGTTTTTTGTTCGTGCAAGGCATTAGATTGTTGGGACAAAGCTTTTCATGTTTTCACCAACAGGCTCTTTTCGTGTGGTGAAAAGGTTCTTCTGAAGGTGAAGATTAAGACTGAGCGAGGCGGGTGTATTCGGTTTCAGATTCTCTCTGTCTCTTTGGGAATGTATGCTGCTGCTGAGTTCCTTAAATGCCAAACTGGGCTATAACTGCTTCTCTTCATTTTCTTCAGGGAAAGGAGAAATTGAAGCCATAGTCGTACCTGTGTGTCTAGCATTCCTGTTGATCGTGCTCCTTGGAGTTTTGTTTTGCTTCAACAAACGTGACTTGTAAGTATAAGTGAGGTCTTTCCCTTATGCTTCTGATCTTTCTGGGAATAACAGATGGCAATAATTCAATACAAACAAGTAAATATTCTGCAGTTAGATGAAAAAAAGGTAAAATGCACATACATCGATTGCTGATAAACATTTTTGTGTTTTCCTTGAGACATCAAGGCCTCTTCTGATACTAATTTCTTACTGTTAACCATCAGCACACAAACTAAATGTTCCATGACTCAATCCTTCAAGGAAATTCCTGCTTTTCTTGCTAGAGTTGGTCAGGAATAGGTTTGTTAGGTTTTGATCAGGATATACTGCCTGTGTTGCTTTCTTAGTCGTCATATGAGAGTGGAATGATGGTCCCTAGTTTGTGAAGCACAGATCTGATTGCTGGCTGTATTCAAGCTCTTTAATTACAACGTTAGCAAACTTTAAGCTCTACAGCCAAAAAAATTAGGCAGACATTTATCTTCCTTGCATAACTTCAGTCAAACTCTGTGCCTACTTACTATCTGCTGAGAAACATCCTGCCTATTCCTGCTCCCTCTACCCCAGAGCTCTTGTCTGTGGCTTTAGTCTGAGAGCTTATTGCTGAAGTGTTTTCCCTGGCAAGAAGTAGCATCTCCCCCGTGTCCCCACTCAGCTATCTTTTCTGTCTAATTAAAAGACAGCATTTTGTGCCCTTTCCCTTCTGACCTCCTTGCTCTTTGTAAAATCAGTTCTTAATGGACGTAAGTTGAAAAGCCCATCTTGCAATGTTCTTCAAAGTTCTCCTACAGAGGATTTGGTTTTGGAGCCTGCATATAAAGAGCAGGATGGATGCAGCAGTTTCAAAGTTTGGTTGGGGGTGATTTATCTACAGAAAGATCTGTTGTTAAGTAATCTTTCTAAACTTAAGAGCTCAGAGTTACAGAAGACTGAACAAGTTTTTCTTCAGATATTTTCACTTTATTTTTAGCTGTGAAGTTGACTTACATTTTGACCGATGTGATGGTCATAGTTACCTTAAAAGAGCAACAGTATGGTGTTTGTTTTTTTTATACTGACATACATTGTAGACTTTGTCTAAATAATTGCTCTGTAGATGCTAGAGTGCTGAAAATCCCTCACTAACAGTTACCATTTGTTGACTTGCCTTGTGTTGGATGGATACATCTAACGTGTAGAGGAGTAATAAGTGCAGTGCTGTGGTTTGCTCAGTAGTACAGCTTCCTACAAAGAAGTAAAGAAGTGCAGGAGGCATTCCTATTCAGAAATAAATATTCTTGCAAAATTGCTCTGTAAGGGAGTGGTGTTCTGGATTATGCAGTACTTGCTATCAACATAGGAATTTGGGGAGTGTATCTTGTAATTTTATTCTGGTTTTAATCCTTCACAGAATTAAAAAGCATATCTGGCCTATTGTCCCTGATCCATCCAAGAGTAACATCGCTCAGTGGTCTCCTCAAGTTCCAGCTAAGGTAATACTCATCTTTCAGCATGCTGTATCTTCCAGTTTGCCAGGTTTCAAATAAGCTAACCAGTGGGAGTCTTCTGTCTTGTAGCACACAGGGATTCCATGGAAAAAAAACCCACTGTTAAATTTCATGACATTGTGATATGATATGGTTAGAAGACTTTATTGCATCAGTAGATTCAGCATTAGAAATACATGGCCCTTAGCACAAGTTCACAGCATAGAGCAGGCTTTAACATTGTGAATTACATTCAGTTTACTAGTTGGAAGGGTCAAGTCCTAATTATTTTACTCATTCACAGGAAATCGGGATTAAGTAAACAGAATTCATGATTCCTATAGGGTCTTAAAACCCTGAAGTGACTTGTTTGCACAGTTAAGTCATCAATGAGAAAGACAGCTCTAAGAGTTCCTCATGGATGAGGAGATGGCAGCAAAATTTATGCGCCATGTGGGGTGAATGACATAGCAAATTCTGTTCAGTAAACTGTGGCTAACTTCTGTGAAGAAGTGCTGTGATGTTGAATATGTTATTGAAAGTAATGTATGTATGGCCTCAATATAGAATGTACCTGTGCTGCACAGAAAATGGCTTTTAATTAAAATCAGGGCAAAGCTTGCACACCCACTATGGTTTTAGAATGGCTGCATAATTAAGACTTTGTATTGGAAACAAAGCTATGTCCTTCATTTCGTAACATACTTTGGAGATACTACTGAACTTGGTAAGGAGAAAACTTAGATGAAGAAACTCGAAACAATTACAAAATAAAAACTCAGATATTTAATGGGGATTATTTTTAACATAACCTTCCTCTTAGGCAACATCCATCTCTTTCTTTCAGCATAACTTTAGTTCTAAAGATCAGATGTATCCAGAAGGCAGCTTTACAGATGTAAGCGTCGTAGAAATAGAAGCTGATGACAAGAAGTCTTTTTCAGAACAAGATCTAAAACCCTTTGACTTGCTTAAAAAGGAAAAAAGTACTTCAGAAGGGCACAGCAGTGGTATTGGAGGATCCTCATGCATGTCTTCTCCTAGGCAAAGCGTCTCTGACAGCGATGAAGGTGAAACTACACAAAACACTTCAAGCACTGTACAGTATTCAACTGTAGTACTTAATGGCTACAGAGACCAAACACCTGTACAAGTCTTTTCAAGGTCTGAGTCGACTCAGCCACTGCTAGATTCAGAAGAGAGATCAGAGGATCATGCTGGAGGAGGTGACAGTACAACACAGAGGCAGCAGTATTTCAAACAAAGCAGTGGTCAGGATGAAACCAACACAGACAGGCCATGCTTTGAAAGAACAAAGCAAATTACACCTGCTAATGAGGGGGATCTTGTTGGATTTGCACAACTGCAGATCTCAGGTCAGAGTTCACAGTCGTTGGGCCTTGGGCTGGAAAAAAATACCCAGGAAGCTGCTCTATCAGATATTTTACAGGCAAGTACTGAAGGACTACCTGTGAGACCTGAAGCAGTGGAAGGAAATCCACTGTCAGTTGATGAAATACCAAAAAGTTACCTCCCACAGACTGTGAGACAAGGGGGCTATATGCCTCAGTGAGAGAAGAGACTGGCTCTGTTTAGGCCTTCATGAGTGCCTGTTCACACTTTCTCCTGTGTTTCTGATAAATTAAGCTAGGTATTTTTATCTGAATGCAGATAGAAATACTGAAACTAAGTGAAGAGTACAAGTGACAAAGTACAATAAGGACTGTGTTTTTGTGGAAAACTTGCAGTCCAGACCTGCTGGAGACTTACTTTTATGCACTACATAAAATCTTATGTCTGGATGGCTGAAAAAGCCATTGTGCTACCTTGGTTTTTTTGTGTCCTGTCATATCAGATTTACACGATTGAAAATGGCAAGTTTCAATCAATTACATCGGCCAATAGAGCTCCCAGAAGAAATACTTCGATTTGTGACAGTGTACAAGCCTAAAATGCCAGCTTTAATTGCTTGGAGCATCTTTGTGCAAAAGTAAGACTGAAGCTTAGTATTCTAACATGGAAGAATACTTGTGTCATATACTTTTCAGTAGCTTGATTGACTTTCTGAATTTTGACTTGGCCCAGTGTCTCAGTTTCCAGCTTACCGGACATGCAAATCATGTTCATCCCCACTTAAAAATTGTAAAAATTAAATAGAGCTTGCTATGGTGTGCAAATAAGAAAACACCATGATCGCTTGACTCTGAATGCTACTATAGTAATTGATATTCTGCCTACATTTAGATATGTGTGCACATGAACTATGTCATAATTTGGCCTAAAAATGTGCCTTGCAACTTGATGCACAGCAATTCAGTCTCACATTCGAAAGTTTAAAAATCCAGATGAAAACACAGCTTCACAGTTATTTAAAGGTTTTGTACCCAAATCACTGTCTGATTACACCATACCTCTCTGGTCATATAAGTTGCCTTTGTTTAATAAGTGCACCTTTGCTCTATACAGCTCGAGAGGCAAGAAATGAGCTGTAAGTTTTTACCACTTTTCTAACTGCTCAGGAGAAAGGGAATATGACCTTCTTGATTGACTACAACAATTAGTGTGCCGTAACCTCACTGCTAATGCTGCAGGACATCCTCGAAACCAAAAACAGCAAAAAACAAAGCAATGAAGCTTTCAGAAGAAAACCCAAAACCTATATCCTGAATTTGAACTTCACTGGTAGTATGTAGCCATTGGCAATCATGAGCCACAAATAACACTTAATGTGGTGGTTAAAACTTCTTACTTTTTCTTATGAACAGGGGAAAAGTGAGACATACAGTTTGCATTTTATTGAAGAAGATAGATTTCTTGGAGACTGTCTCTACCAGGGTTTAAAGAAAAATGAAATTACATTAAAATAACCCCCTTCTCCAATGATAACTAGAAATCTTATGGCACTCTTGTAGATTTTTTTTTTTAACCTTAACTTAGCCTAATCAGCTTTCTAATCTGACACTAATAAAACCTTAGTTGAAAACACTAAATGCTGTGGTGTGAGAATAAAACAAGGTTTTATTTCTCCTTCAGCAAAAGAACTATGTATTTAAAACCACCTGAAACCTTTTGTGCTGTGACCTCTGGTGCTGCTGTTCTGCAAAGCAGTTGCTAAAGGCCCTGGAAAGGCAGAGGTGTCAGTATCATTTCAACTTCCCTTGTCTGCCAGCTTGCATGGAAGGACAAGTATTCATATAAATGTTCACATGTGTATTCTGCTTTTGTTAGGAAGAAATTTAATGCTAGAGTAAATTCATAAGATTACCTCTTCAAGTCGTGACTATTTAAAAAAGATAAAGAATGCAGAATATTTAATAACATTTCAGTATTCCACAGTTCCTTTCTCCCAGCAGTATTTTTCATATCTGGGGACTTTTTTAAACTAAAAGGCTATGTTGCAGATTACTGTAACTAAACCTTTCTTCAAACCAGTCCCCTTCCTTTTCTCCCTACTCCACCTCAGCACCTTCAAACTCCCTCCCAGAGGGCAAAGGGCATAAGAAAAACTATGCTGTCACGAGACAGCAGAGACTGCCTTTCATTTTTTCAGAGGCTGAAGGAGCATTCCTTTGTCAGAACACATTCCTCTTGGAAAATGATAGCAGTTACTTTACTTGGGGATCAGTTTTCTTCTCTATGCAAACTTCGCGGTGACTGTAGAAACCACAATTAAAGAGGGGAGTCTCTGAGCAGTGTGTGTGCTTATTAGAACTGCCCTGCAGCCATGTGCATCTAATCCACCTCCTGCTCATCTCTGAAATATTGTGGGCTACAGCCTGGCTACTTAGTCTGAACAGTGCTTCAAAGGCCTGGATGTTTTTAAAAACATGCTAATTATTTCTTTCTTTCTTTTTTTTTAATTGTTTTTTGTGATCCAGTGAGACTAACTTTTGATAGCATATATCGTATTTGAGGGATGACTTCAGTTATTCTGAAGTTACTATTTGCCTTTCTGTTGTGTAAAGAGAAGGCATTTTGTTCTCTGTTGCTGTTAATCATGGACCTTTTCCAAGGTTAAACAAACAGCATGAAGAGACTCTAATTTTTAAAGGTCTATGCTAACAAAAGTTCTGGCCTGTCACTTCCGGCATCTTTCCTTCTTTGTGTTGATGGGCCAGTGGTAGTAAACCCACAGATTTGTATAGGAGTGTATCCTAGAGAGAAATCTGTCTGTCTGGCAGAGTTAATATTCTATCTTTCAGGCTTGTGCATTTATCTAGAGCTAAAATACTAAAGACTAAGCAGGAGATACTGGTGGGTGAACAGCTTGTAGAAGCCACAATACATGTAAATAACAGGTTTACAGCTTGTTCATAAACCCATGTGCCAAATATTATATCATGCAGTGTTCAGGGCTTAACTTGGTTTTGTAGTTTGGATCGTAACAATCTAATTGTATCAAACAGTTGCATAGAGGGTTTTAGAGTGTCTGTAATGTAATTATAGCAATCCACTGAAATTCTCTGAACTTGGCCATAATATAGTAATTAAAGAAAAAGCTTCCCCCTCCCCCCCCACAATAACTGTGGTGCACTTTACAAAATAATGGCATTACTAAAATAAAATCACACTTCAGTATTGACACTTTCATGTCCATCTTGGTTTCCTGGACTGGGATTTTTCAGGTAGGGGTGGGAGAATAGTTGTAAAGACCTTGTTACTTTGGTGGCAGGGAGGGGAGACTAATAGAAATACAAAGTATATTTCCTGTATTAGCAGGCTGCCTAGCTGCTCCTCTGTTGACAGGAAAAGTGAATATATTTAACTCTATAGTTCTGTTGTGGTGGTTCTATTAGGACAGGAGGTTGTTGGGGTTGTTTCTGGGGTACATTGGCTCACTTTCGGGGGCAGTTAGTCTGGGAATATCCTCTCTCACTGTAGTGAAGGTCTTGAGATTATGTTTCATATGCCCTCCCTGAGGTAAACTAAACTGCCTGTTAAGCCTCAACCTGGCAGCGCAAAGCATGGGAGAGCAAAAGTTTTTCTAAATTTCATTCTGGAGTGTGTGTGACAAGTATGTGCCTGTCTGTGCTACAGCCCAGCAAAATGCTAATTATCAGGCCTGGAAAAAACATGGGCCCTTGGGGGAGGAGGAAGTTTGCATGTGAGGGCTGAGTCCCCTTCTTGGGCACTGGAGAAGCCCCGTGGCATGGGGTGGGGTTTGGAGGTTCAGCTTTGTAAATTATGAGCACCACCAGTTGGTTAAAACTCAATATTGGTGTGCCGAATATGTGGGAACCACCATGCTGATTTAACTTTAGTAATTGAACCTGTTTAATTAGTGCCAGGTCTTGAATATCGAAGACCCACATCAATATATGCTGCTATGATATTGACTTCACAGTGGGATCTGAAATGCCAAAGACTCTCAGAGAAATTGTTAACAGTCCATCCTGCTCCAGCACATACCCACTTTAAATTGAAATTTATGTGCATTAAATGGGACTAAATATAGTAGTTTATTTTCCCTGAGACAGTTGTTGTAGTTGAGATTAACTGTCACTTGGATATGTTCCTTTAACTATGCTAAAAAGTTCTCCTGACTGATGGATTTTAAAACTTCATTAATCCCCTGTAACTTCTTGTCTGTTTGTTAGGATGGATACACAGTCATTTTAAATTCCGGGAGTTGCTTTTAATGTTATTTGGATGCAGTTTATAAGAAAAATGTTGACTCTCTTGTCATGAAACAGCCATTTGGGAATTACAGGCAACCCCACAGTCTTCAGCTTAGCTCTTGATCCAGAAAACTGCAGTAAAGTGGAGATGTAAGTGCAAAAGTCTGGAGAAGAGTAAAATTAAGTATCTCACACTGGACTCACAGCTTTTCATTTCTCTTCCTTAAAAGTGAAAGGATCAGTTAAAAAAAAAAAAATGAAGCTAAAATGCATGTGTGTTTGCTTTCACTGTTGTTTCCTTTGTAGTACTTGTGCAACCTGAGCCATTCCTAAAAATGAAAGCAGTGCTGACTTAATGTACAAGGCTGCATTTTTAAGGTGAGAAGATTTGATACAAACAAATTTAAAATTGACTGAGGGCCAGATCTCAACAATTGTCCACTTCTCCCCCCTCCCTCTTAGTTTTAGCGCAGAGAGAGGGTGGGCAGTAAGTACCTCCCAGAATGCAGCCTTAGCCAGTACTTGTGCTTATTTGCAACGACGACGTTGAAGGGGATATATGCAATAAAGTCGTTGACACTCTGCAGAAGCACACTTCTGTAACAACAGATGAAAAACACGTATGGCACAACTGTCGACAGACAGCTGGAAAGCTCCACGTCCTCCTGCTCAGACCGAAGCGTCTTCTGCACCCCGCACCGGCTGTTCTCCGGCGATGGCAGGCGTGGTAGACAAGTGTTCTCTGCAGTGTTGAAACTGGTAACACCTATCGCTTTTCTTCACATCAAAGCACATTCGTTAATGGATCCAGACAACTTGCCGTGTTTTTTTTTTTTTAACACACCAGTCTTGTTTACAGTGTCACATACTGCCTGACACTTTGATACAGCGATGGATTGTCTAGTAACCAAGTGCTTCTATTTGGGATTAAGGAGTCTGCGGTCAAGGTTACTGGTCACCAAACGTTGCTGTGCAGATAGGTAGCACAGCAGACAGGCGTGGGACACAGGGACAGACATACTAACAAGGAAAGTGCCTTGATGCTGGATTGGATGGCTAGTGAATGTAAACATTAAGTCGAATTTTGCTATGTATACTTAAAGTAAGTATGGCTGATTAAGCTACTGGTAGTTTGAATGCCAGCTTTAAAGGGCTTGCATACTTGGGCCAGAGGTTAAGCTTGTAAATTGCTGCATAAGCTGTCTCTATACAGAAATGTGTTTTAATACCAGTACACTATCTTCATTCTTTTGCAAGCTGCATGTTCATTGTCATATAAACTCTGCTTTCTACAATTTACTTCATGGTCGGTTCTGAATGTCTTGTGTTACCCAGCTGAGCCTGAATGTTGCATTTGTCTAGTACATAATACATGAGAAGAAAACAAAATTCATATTTACCTTGTGTGCTGGAGTCGGTGTTTTGTAAGGCTGGCTGAAGTCAGCAGGGGAAGAGCCTGGGCACTATTTCCTAGGGAAGAAAGGGAGAGACATTCCCGGAGAGAGATGTGACTGTGGCCTATGAGGACGGAAGGCTGCCTGGTGGGGCATGCGGGGCAAGTTCAGCACCGGGTGGATGCTCTTTGTCCTCCCTTTGTAGTTGCTCCTTTAAATTGGTGTGTGCTGGGGCTGGCTGACCATGGCTGTCCCAGGGACCCAGCTGTGCCTGCCTGCAGCTCCCTGCTCCAAAGATGTAGGACTGGTGCTGTGGGCAGGCTTGTTTGGGTCTGTTGAAAACGGGAAGTGTCTAAAATCCAATTCTAAGGAACACTAGGGCAGTGAGGAGCAGGGTGTAATGCTCCCAGAAAGGAGTCAGGGGCCTGGCTCTGTCTGATGTTGCCTGGTCTCACCTGGGTTTGGTTCTTTTGTTTCTGATGGGTGGAGGACCCTCATGGACCTTTAGTGAATTCCTGTCTCTCTACTGAAGAAGCACAGCTGACTCTTCACAGGGTGGTCACATCCTCAAAAGGCTTTGAGGGTGGCACCTGAGGAAAGGCAGCTTCCCCTTCCTGGCTAATGTTCTGACTTGCGTGGGCAGACTCAGACTCACATGAAAGTGGGTGGTTTGGGGGTGGGGGTGTTATGAGTTGTTACATTACGCATCACCTCCAGCACCAAAACCAGTTTCTGTCACTGCCATGGAAGAGCCATCCCAGACACGTTATTCCTGTTAACACGGTGGTGTTAAATTAGGTGTGAATACAACACTAGGTTCTTTCCAAAATTCTAGTTTGCTGCGTAGTAGTTCATTTACACCTGTTTCACATAAGGCTGCCTAAGGAGCGTGGGGTTTTGCGTGTCCTCGCCTGAGCTCGTGGCTGCTGAGCATCAGTGCAGGGCTTTTTAGACTTCGTCTTCTTGGACTGCTGCGCTGCTGGCAGGGCAAGCTTGCTTCCTGTAACTGTTAAAGGAAATAAGGCTGGAGAGAGAACGAGGGGAATGCCCTGCTCCGCACAGGAAACACGTCCGAACGCCAGCAGCCGCCGGGTTCCTGGGAACAGCTCTCCATCCCCAATGGCCCGGGGCCAGCAGAGCCCGCGGGGGAGCCGGGGGCGCGCCTAACCTTGTGCCAGCCCTGGGGCGGCGGGCGTTTGTCCAGCCAGGACGGGCACCGGGCAGGGACGCAGCACAACACCCCCAGAGCAGCGGAGGGGTGCAGAGGAGCCCCCCTCAGGGCGATGTGTTTGGAGGGCTGCTGGGAGATGATGGCTTTGCTTGGCCGCTGAGCGTCACAGTAACGTTGCACCACTGCAAAAGCATCTCGCGTGTCTTTTCCAGGCATCAGCGCTGTTCATGATAGAGCGATCCAGTGCCTTCCTCTCTTCCCAGCAGTCACCAACTACCACGACATAACTAGCAGAGCCAAAATATCCCTCACACCCCCTACAAATAGCTAGGAAATTCCCGGCTGAGCCAGGGAGGCTCTGAGCACGAACGACCCAACCGGGATGTTTGGGACGCAACTCAGCGTCATCTGACGCCAGGCTCGCCTGCAAAATGGGAACGCGGCGCAAAAAATGGGAACGCGCTGCGCGCTGGTGCGGTGGGCACCGCCCCGGCTCGCCTTTCGGAGCAACCCGCACGCC